TCTATGGGTGAGTTGTGTATTGTTGCCGCTATAAGGTCACTCTATGGGTGAGTTGTGTATTGTTGCCGCTATAATGTCACTCTATGGGTGAGTTGTGTATTGTTGCCGCTATAAGGTCACTCTATGGGTGAGTTGTGTATTGTTGCCGCTATAAGGTCACTCTATGGGTGAGTTGTGTATTGTTGCCGCTATAATGTCACTCTATGGGTGAGTTGTGTATTGTTGCCGCTATAAGGTCACTCTATGGGTGAGTTGTGTATTGTTGCCGCTATAATGTCACTCTATGGGTGAGTTGTGTATTGTTTCCGCTATAAGGTCACTCTATGGGTGAGTTGTGTATTGTTGCCGCTATAAGGTCACTCTATGGGTGAGTTGTGTATTGTTGCCGCTATAATGTCACTCTATGGGTGAGTTGTGTATTGTTTCCGCTATAAGGTCCCTCTATGGGTGAGTTGTGTATTGTTGCCGCTATAATGTCACTCTATGGGTGAGTTGTGTATTGTTTCCGCTATAAGGTCACTCAGTGGGTGAGTTGTGTATTGTTGCTGCTATAATGTCACTCTATGGGTGAGTTGTGTATTGTTGCCGCTATAAGGTCACTCTATGGGTGAGTTGTGTATTGTTGCCGCTATAAGGTCACTCTATGGGTGAGTTGTGTATTGTTGCCGCTATAAGGTCACTCTATGGGTGAGTTGTGTATTGTTGCCGCTATAAGGTCACTCTATGGGTGAGTTGTGTATTGTTGCCGCTATAAGGTCACTCTATGGGTGAGTTGTGTATTGTTGCCGCTATACTCTAGGTCACTCTATTGTTGCCGCTATGAGGTCACTCTATGTGTAGTTGTGTATTGTTGCCGCTATAAGGTCACTCTATGGGTGAGTTGTGTATTGTTGCCGCTATAAGGTCACTCTATGAGTGAGTTGTGTATTGTTGCCGCTATAAGGTCACTCTATGGGTGAGTTGTGTATTGTTGCCGCTATAAGGTCACTCTATGGGTGAGTTGTGTATTGTTTCCGCTATAATGTCACTCAGTGGGTGAGTTGTGTATTGTTGCTGCTATAATGTCACTCTATGGGTGAGTTGTGTATTGTTGCCGCTATAAGGTCACTCTATGGGTGAGTTGTGTATTGTTGCCGCTATAAGGTCACTCTATGGGTGAGTTGTGTATTGTTGCCGCTATAAGGTCACTCTATGGGTGAGTTGTGTATTGTTGCCGCTATAAGGTCACTCTATGGGTGAGTTGTGTATTGTTGCCGCTATAAGGTCACTCTATGGGTGAGTTGTGTATTGTTGCCGCTATAAGGTCACTCTATGGGTGAGTTGTGTATTGTTTCCGCTATAATGTCACTCAGTGGGTGAGTTGTGTATTGTTGCTGCTATAATGTCACTCTATGGGTGAGTTGTGTATTGTTGCTGCTATAAGCTTACTCTATGGGTGAGTTGTGTATTGTTGCTGCTATAAGGTCACTCTATGGGTGAGTTGTGTTTTGTTGCTGCTATAAGCTTACTCTATGGGTGAGTTGTGTTTTGTTGCTGCTATAAGCTTACTCTATGGGTGAGTTGTGTATTGTTGCTGCTATAAGCTCACTCTATGGGTGAGTTGTGTATTGTTGCTGCTATAAGGTCACTCTATGGGTGAGTTGTGTATTGTTGCTGCTATAAGCTTACTCTATGGGTGAGTTGTGTATTGTTGCTGCTATAAGGTCACTCTATGGGTGAGTTGTGTATTGTTGCTGCTATAAGCTTACTCTATGGGTGAGTTGTGTATTGTTGCTGCTATAAGCTCACTCTATGGGTGAGTTGTGTATTGTTGCTGCTATAAGGTCACTCTATGGGTGAGTTGTGTATTGTTGCTGCTATAAGGTCACTCTATGGGTGAGTTGTGTATTGTTGCTGCTATAAGCTTACTCTATGGGTGAGTTGTGTATTGTTGCCGCTATAAGGTCACTCTATGGGTGAGTTGTGTATTGTTGCTGCTATATGGTCACTCTATGGGTGAGTTGTGTATTGTTGCTGCTATAAGGTCACTCTATGGGTGAGTTGTTTATTGTTGCCGCTATAAGGTCACTCAATGGGTACTTTGTGTATTGTTGCCGCTATAAGGTCACTCTATGGGTGAGTTGTGTATTGTTGCCGCTATAAGGTCACTCTATGGGTGAGTTGTGTATTGTTGCCGCTATAAGGTCACTCTATGGGTGAGTTGTGTATTGTTGCCGCTATAAGGTCACTCAGTGGGTGAGTTGTGTATTGTTGCTGCTTTAAGGTCACTCGCTGGGTGAGTTGTGTATTGTTGCTGCTATAAGGTCACTCTATGGGTGAGTTGTGTATTGTTGCCGCTATAAGGTCACTCTATGGGTGAGTTGTGTATTGTTGCCGCTATAATGTCACTCTATGGGTGAGTTGTGTATTGTTGCCGCTATAATGTCACTCTATGGGTGAGTTGTGTATTGTTGCCGCTATAATGTCACTCTATGGGTGAGTTGTGTATTGTTGCCGCTATAATGTCACTCTATGGGTGAGTTGTGTATTGTTGCCGCTATAAGGTCACTCTATGGGTGAGTTGTGTATTGTTGCCGCTATAATGTCACTCTATGGGTGAGTTGTGTATTGTTGCCGCTATAAGGTCACTCTATGGGTGAGTTGTGTATTGTTGCCGCTATAAGGTCACTCTATGGGTGAGTTGTGAATTGTTGCTGCTATAAGGTCACTCAGTTGGTGAGTTGTGTATTGTTGCTGCTATAAGGTCACTCAATGGGTGAGTTGTGTATTGTTGCCGCTATAAGGTCACTCTATGGGTGAGTTGTGTATTGTTGCCGCTATAATGTCACTCTATGGGTGAGTTGTGTATTGTTGCCGCTATAAGGTCACTCTATGGGTGAGTTGTGTATTGTTGCCGCTATAAGGTCACTCTATGGGTGAGTTGTGTATTGTTGCCGCTATAAGGTCACACTATGGGGGAGTTGTGTATTGTTGCTGCTATAAGGTCACTCTATGGGTGAGTTGTGTATTGTTGCTGCTATAAGGTCTTTCCATGGGTGAGTTGTGTATTGTTGCTGCTATAAGGTCATTCTATGGGTGAGTTGTGTATTGTTGCTGCTATAAGGTCACTCTATGGGTGAGTTGTGTATTGTTGCTGCTATAAGGTCACTCTATGGGTGAGTTGTGTATTGTTGCTGCTATAAGGTCACTCTATGGGTGAGTTGTGTATTGTTGCTGCTATAAGGTCACTCTATGGGTGAGTTGTGTA